CCAGGAGAATGCTGTGGGAGACGCTGTCAATCTTGTCATTCTCCCTGGTAAGCATGCTAGATAGACTGGTGAACTATAAACATTGCTATAGACATTGAATATAGAACATTGTTAGTGCACTGGAGCATCTTGAATAGTGTCCTTTTTGCCTGAAATATATTTTTAGTTCTAGAGTACTACATTTCTCTCTCATTTTACACATCTCTCATATATATATAGTATAACATTTGAGTCTTGAGATCTTGTGATAGTATCTCAGAAGCACGAGAAGACTAAATTAATTATTACAGTAAAAATCATCCTCACACCCAACACATTTTAAGGTATTGCTTATTTCAGGTTTAATCTTTGGCATTAAAATAAGAAAACAAGAAAGAATATTTATTAGCTGATGATAATTCAGTAATTGGAATCTAGCATACTTTTTGTTTCACAATAAATATTTGATCCTTAGTCCTTCAGCATTGTTATGTTTACTGAAGTGTCTTGTAGATCATGTTAACCTATGGTTGTTTCTGCACAGTGTCTAGTTGCACAGCGGAAATCTTTGCTGCCTCTTGTTAAAGAACAAAACTTTAGAGAGAGATTAGACAAATGCATGAAAGAAAAATCCACAGGCCCTTAAGCACAGAAATACCACATCTTTGGTGAAGAAATCCCCAGAATACAGGTTGGTGGAATCTTGGAAAATACTGGGAAAGTTCTGTATTCCAGTCACAATATTTGTATATTTTTCTTTAAGCCTCCATATTAGGTTAGCTCAAGTATGATCAATCATGTCAAGTGGAGAGCACTTGAAACATATATATATGATTAGGTCCTTTTTGAATGAATTTTGGGATCAAATCCTTTGCTGGTATAAGTGGGTGCAATCACACTAAAGCTGTGTTAAGCCAGAAAATAGTTTGGCATTTTGTTCATGAAAGATGCTAAGCTGGCAACAAGAAACTTCTCATTTGTACAGGTCAAGAGTGAGCTAAAGGATGGGAAAAAGACTGTAGGTTAGGCATTGACCTCTAGTGAGACAGCTAGAACTCACAAAACAGAAGGTCTGTTTGCATTGTGACCATCTGCAGTCAACCAAGCTATTCACAAACTGAATAATTTTCATATCATAATGGTTTATGTTCCCTTTTTTTTAATTATATATGCATTTTTAGATAAGGGAGGAAAAGTCTGTGTCCTGTTACTACTATCACTACATAAAAGCCAGCAAATACTTTAGGTTGGTGGTGTAATTGAAGCTAGTCAGACCAACATTTTCTCACACTTGTATGTGACTGTGGCATGCAGTGGCTAACGCTGGGAAGATAAGAGAAATTCCAGGTGACAGAAAGATGTTTTTGTTGTTCCATGTCAGCCATTTTTTAAGAGTAACTGAGTTTTGAATTTTCTCTGAATCAACTACAAAAATTTTTAACTGAATAGTTGGGTTTGATATTCCACAGCCTTATAACAGTTGTTTAGTCCAGGTATTGTCAAAAAGAAATGATGAAGCTGGACAGAGCAACACATTTCCACACACTGCTGTAACAATATGGAGAGAAAGCAAACCAGAAATGAAAAGGCGAATGTGATGTTTACATATGCTAATACAAAAGGGCATCTTTAAAATATTCATGAAAATAAAACCCTCTGCCAAACATAAATATGTTGAAAAAAGAGGTCACCAAAATTTTTCTTATACTTTTCAACTTTCCAGCCTTCCATAGCCTGAACGGATTCATCAATAAGTACAAAACAAGAGATCCTTGACAGAATTTAAAGGTTTGCTTACCATAGATTGACCAGGAAGGGATGTTCCAGGCCTTGCATTATCTGTAGCTCCCGAAAAACATTTCGAACTTCATCTCTTTCAATGCACTTCTGTTTATTCATATATTTCATGGCATACATTTTCTTGGTGTCCCTCTTCTGTACAATGCACACCTAATTGACAGCAAAGTAAAAGACAAAGTTTGACACCTACAGAAAGGAAACTCAGTTGTGACTTTGAAAAAAAGGAGCCTTTTATGATATTTCAATAATCCAGATCTGGATACCACAACTTAGGAACACCTTCAGAAAGTCCACATTACAGCTGTGCAGGATTCCTTGTAATATATTGCAATTAATTAATTAACAAAAAAAAAAAAACCAGTCCTGCATAAGAAGAAATGAGGACCAAGAAAAGTGGCATAACTTCCAGAAGGTACATAGTAAAGCTGGGAGGAATACACTCCAATTGCTCAAATCACAGGCTATTTCCTTAGTCACAAAAATTACCACATCCTGCCTAAGAAAATGCACAATTATTGTCCTTATTCCCGCAAGTCAATACACACATCTCGATTACTGCATCATAAACATAGCCTACATTCACAAGGCTCAATATTTCATTTAAATATCAGAATTATGCCTCTTGAATTATTGTTGAAAAGAAAAAGAATTTTCATACAGAGATTCATTGTAATATTTTTTGAAGTCACAAAAGACCATTACAGTGATTTAGTCTCTAGCAGTAAATTTCTTTGCTTTAGCTTTGTTTTCTTTTTTTGACAAAAGTCAAATGCAGGAAGAAAATCTTAGTCAAGAGAGCTCCCGTGTGAGGCCTGGATTGTTTTTTGTCATGGAAGTTTAGCTTGTGAATGAAGCTGGAAAGTGGCACCAGCACCACATCCAAGGATCATCATTTTAAATATGATTTCTGGCAACACGGAAATATGAGGTTGTTCTGTGTCTCATCCCCAAAGCTGGTGTAAACCTCATCTTCGTAACAGTCCTACATACACACTAGATCAAAACTATATCCTTGAAAGATTTTTTCCTCTGGAAGGTTTTTCCTGTTAATTGATTGGGACTTTTTTAAGTGACACTCCTAGTGTGTCTTCACAGCCAAGAGAATATTAGTTGAAAATATTAATTTGGTGCAATGTTTATATTACTGACACAACCATAGGCTCCAATCAGAATTTTCCATCATCAGGACATGTACAGACTGCGTACTGGAAGCATCTGTTTTAGACACCACAAGTCTGTAGTGTCTAAATTCAAGGGTATTCTGGATTGACTTGGTGTGGGCACTGTTATCTTATATGGATATTTATCTACATTCACACATGCACATATATACACTCCCATATTATACACAAATGAAATTATAGTATACACACATTATATATATATATAAAATTAGTGCTCAGAGATCAGATTACAACATGGTGCCAACCAGAAATAAATCCTTTGGTTTTGACCTGTATTTTAAGGAACTTGCATGCTCAAAATTCAGAAATGGTCTGGAGAAACTAAGACAACTTCCCACAGCTGACACCTCTGACTTTAATAAAGTGTGATCTGGATTCTGGACCTGGTGATGAAAAACCAGTGCCAGGGGTGAGGACCCTAAAGGGACTTACTATGTGGTCACTTATTTCTTAAGCACAGAGGAAAAGCTCCAGGAGCGTACCATCAGCATATTTTACTTCCTCTACTTTTTTCCAGTCCCTCCAAGAGGAACTGGGCCAGTGAAACCCAACCATATTTATTTCTCTGCAACTCTATTTCCATGATGCATCTCCTTGAGCTCAAATCTAGTCCAAAGAGAGGAGTTAATAGACTACTTTTAACCTATAGTGATAACGTGTGATTAAGCAGAGTTTCTTCTAATTACCTTTCCTAATATCAGGAGGTGTTCTGATAATTAAGTAAAACATAGATGGTAATATTTTGTATTGAGCCCATCAGTGTTACACAATGGTGAGTAGTGAAGTTTTGTTTCATTTTCCTCCTTGGACTGTTATGGAAAGTTTGGATGTTGGTGATGTCCTTAAGATAACTAAAGGTTCACACTTATATGGAAAGAACCCAGGCTGTGGAACAATGGGGAACTGGGGTTGGCCTTTTGGAGGAATAAGAGGTAGCAGGTGGGGTTGAACTGAAATGGAGAGATGGAAATGAATTGTTCAAGATTCCACAGATTCTTCAAAAGTATAAGGAGAATTTGCAGAGGCAATTCTTGACATCTTGTCTGAGATTATGTGGACAATCCAATTTAGTGAATCACATTATAAAGTACAATGTTTATGGATTTTGGCTCAGAACCTAAGTCCAGTTCATTCACTAACATGAATTTGCAGCATGACTTTCATATGAAACTTGGCCAACACCGAGGTGTTTGCAGAAGTCTCCTATCGCATTACATAAAAAGCCTCCCTACTGAACAGTTGACTAGTGCGAGTGCTGGGAGAATGGGGTTTTACTCAGCTGAGAGTTACAGGTTTGACCAAAGTGGCAAACTAGGAAACAGCATCTAAATATGTAATGTAACCAGGTTTCGAAACACCGCAGTGACTCCAGAAGGCACTCAGTTCTCTTACCTGCCACTAAAGGCAAGGGTATTCAGCACAGTTGTAACAGACCTTCTGTTGTTAGTAAAAACTTGCCTAGCCTACAACTTTAAAGCAGAACGATAGTAAACATTTTCTAGTAATGTGTACCTATGCACATCTTTTAACATGGTTTCAAAATTAATTGCATTTTAATGAATATACTAAAGCTACTTCTTACTAAAAATCAGGAAACACAAGCTGCATCCACACTGAAGATATTGTGAAAAACTGACATTGCTATGACAGTGCTGAATCATAGTGGAGACCCTCTCTGGCATTTCTACCTCCTGGCTGTCAGCTCTTCTTCTGAGTAGGACATCAATGGGCTGAAACTTTTCCACTACTGCAGAAAAGAAAAGAAAAGCCCTTAAGCTCTCTTCACATGTGCAGTCTCAATGGGAAAAGTTTAAATTGTGGGGGTTTTTTGTTTATGGTTGAACTGGTTTTGGCTGGGATAGAGTTAATTTTCTTAATAGTGGCTGGTATGGGGCTGTGTTTTGGATTTGTGCTGGAAGCAGTGTTGATAACACAGGGATGTTTTCATTATTGCTGAGCAGTGCTTACACAGAGTTAAGGTCTTTTCTGTTCCTCACCCCACTCCACCAGTGAGGAGGCTGAGGGTGCACGGGGAGCTGGGAGGGGACACAGCCAGGACAGCTGACCCAGGCTGGCCAAAGGGATATTCCATACCATACGACATCATGCTCAGTATATAAAGCTGGGGGAAGAAGAAGGAAGGGGAGGGGGGATGTTTGGAGGTGATGGCGTTTGTATTCCCGATTAACTGTTAAGTGTGATGCAGCCCTGCTTCCCTGGGGATGGCTGAGTACCTGCCTGCCCATGGGGAGTGGTGAATGAATTCTTGGTTTTGCTTTGCTTGCGTGCGCAGCTTTTGCTTTACCTATTGAACTGTCTTTATCTCAACCCATGAGTTTTCTCACTTTTACTCTTCCATTTCTCTCCCCAATCCCACTGTGGGGGGGTGAGCGAGCGGCTGCTTCGTGCTTAGTTGTGGGCTGGGGTTAAACCATGGCAATGGTTTAAATTCTTTCCAAAGGAGTAATTTTAAAATAGGGACAAACAGATGCTTTGGCACCTCAACAAACAAATTCTGTGATGAGTCATTATTGTGGAGGTCTGTGCAGAACTGTCTTATTTACACATATCAGTATGGAAGTCTGTCACGCTCACATTACTAAAACATCCTCTTTGAATCTTCCTGTGAATATCATTTACCAAAGCCCAGACAGTGCCCCGCTCAAACTGATATCACTGCTTCAGCAGTCTCTATAGGTGATGCTTCAAACCAGATATAAGTGTCATAAACTCAACAACTATGATAGCTTCATAGTCAGCAGATAGGGACAAGCACATCCATCTCCACCACCTAAGGTATGGGTCTAAATAGGTCCAGGGATCCATCTCTAGAAGGATCACTTCTCTTGTAAAGTCCTCCTAAAGAGATTGTAGATGACTAGCTTGGATGTAGGCATCTGTCTTTTACAATGTTTAAAGGTAGGCTACACGAATACCCGTTAATTTTCTTTGGAGTTCTATGGTGTTTATTTCCAAAAGTCTCTTGTGAAAATATTCCCTTTCTAAAGAGGGTTTTTCTACATGTCTTAGCTGTTATCACAAGGTTGTATCTTTTTTCTATCTGGGAGAAGGTAACAATTAATTCCTTCAAAACTATCAGATTAAAAGAAATTTGACCAGAGTGTGACTTGGAGACACTTTTCCTCAGAACCAGGGGAAGAAAACCAACAGATTATGACTGCAGGACTAAACTTCATTTTTCAGGAGAAACATATGCTATGGTCCACTTCTAGGCTACCTTTTTGGATTTCCTCTGATTTCACGTGCAAAAAAATAGAGCACCTACAGATGGAGTTTATTAATTATTATTAATCTGCAGATTAATAGATCACACAACCGCTAAGACTGCTATGGGTGACAAAGTGACCCATGGGCTATTGCAGACCTAGGTAAGCAAAGCAAGAGAGTTATGTTGAGTAAAACTGGGGTGGAATTTGCTAATAGTTTGCTGCATAATGATGTGTAGGTTGAGAAGCCATAGGTAGCTTCAGAGAAGCTCTTTCCAGAGCAAAAGATGGGGATGGCTGAAAAGTTTGACTTGCTGCAAAACACAGATTTCTCCTGTCTCCCACTAAGTTCAAAAGACTTCCAGCTGCCATGTGCTTGGTCCAGAGAGAACAGCAGGGATTGGGAGCACTTAGTTTCAATAAAGCCGTTTTGGTCTGAGTTTGGTACATAAGTACTTAGAGTTCTCGAACTACCATGATATGGTTTCATGACAGGTCATAAAAAAGGAGAGACACAAAACTGCAGCCAGAGGAAGCTCCTCTGTGCAAGGTCCCTGGCAGTGGAGAGTTGGCAGCTGGAGTGCACACCTCAGCCTTTCTTCTGTATCATAATCTTATGCATCAAGTACATCAGGTCAGTAGATCAGATGGGGCACCTATAGCTGCCATGAGTAATCATAGCCCAGGAGAGGGTCTGTGGCAACGCTTGGGCAGAAGACAGTCACCTAGATATAGGGGACTACAAGACAGGAACCAGCTATATTTTTCATTCCCAGTGTGGGAACTGATAAATCTGCTATGAAGCATGTGCCTGAAATACTGCTACTTCGTCTGTTCTTACACACATATTCTGAAAAATTAATGCTCATAGTCTCAGCTTACAAGTAGCGTTGGAAAGATTTACACAAAGAGGCTGGAGAATGGATGTCCTAAGTTTGGCTTTACACTGCCAGGGAATTTCCTTTAAATAGGGAGATTCATTCCCAGATTCCCCTGAGCAAGCCATGACAGCTGGAGCAGGGACCAAGCATCTGTTTATTCCCTTTTCATATTAACTCAAGCTAAAAATACATGTGTTTATACTGTCAAACAATATTAATATTCTGCAGTTGTGTCTTACGTTGCATTTAGGATAGCAGCATATTTTTTCTGAAATACTTTGTATATTATTTAGTAAAGTACCCTTGAACAGTGCAGACGTGATTCTGGGTTCCCATCTGTTTTATACCTGTGTAATTTCAATTACTTCAGCAGAGGAATTCACTGTTTTATACAACCAAAATAATCAGAACTAAGTCCTGTGTCTCAGCATCTTAGGCAAATAGGAGAAAGGGCTTGGACATTCATATAATTTGAGTTTAATTTAAGGAGGTCAGATTGTTTGATATACTTGTTCCCATGAACAAAGAACTTGAAGAAAATTGGTACTATAGTATTCCTGAAAACTCATTTTTTCACGTGAATACAAATCATTTTGTGGCAGTAAGCCTGCAATTATACAGTTATTGTTGCAGTAAAGAACAATGATAATTCTTGTATTTCCCTAGTCAGTTTTGTACTCATTGGGTGATCTTCGAATATATAATTTTTTGCAATATTTTGTTGATAAGAATGATGGCTCTACATATAGCAAAATGGAAAAACTTAGCCAGAGAGAGAGAGCATTGCATGAGACAGCATTTTTAAGGTATCACATAGCATAAAGAAATAACTACTTATACCAGTATTCAGCATTTTTGGTTTGAGTATTTTAAATTTTCTACTTCTGAATTGCCTTAGAAGGGAAATACTTAATATATGAATAAAAGCTGTTTGGGCAAAATTTCTGACCTGGCCCACTTCAAGTGTATTTGGAAATGCTAATAACAGGAACATGCCAAGCATAACTAGCTTAATGGTCTTTAAAAAAAAAAAGAAATCATTATTTCCTGTTACATATGAGGACAGCAAAGCATGAGCAGAGAGCTACTGTCATCTACCTAGCAAAGCAAGGTCACTGAAGCCAGCAAGGCTACCTTTGGAGGAGTGCCACACACCTCCTCGGGTACCGCTGCCACCCGTGCAGCAGCTCACGGATCTGTAGCAGCGTCTGTACGTACAGATACATACACGGGGTCCGTATAGATGTGCCCGGGAGTGGGGAAAAGCATTCAGTGAGCGGTCACACCCCAGACTGCCATAGCTTGCCCGTCGCTTGGCTTGAGAAAAAGAGCTGCTGCCGTGCTCGGAAGCTGTGGCCGCAGCGGCCCTGCGCAGGCTCAGAGCTCACCGTCCTCCGCCGCCCCTCGCTCTGAAGGGACGCCTTTCCAAGCAGACAGAAGTAAGCCTGGGTTTTGCCAGAAACAGGAGCGTGCTCCTTGTTTCTCGTCTCTCCACACCCACTTCCTACGCTCCTCACAACTGCTGCGAAGTATCTTGACTTTTTCTGAGGAAGGTGCTACAGTGCCTACAAGACTACACTCGCTCTTAACACGTCCCTAGGAAACGGCGTGTACTGAGGCAGTCGCTTAAAGCAGGCGCCTTGAGACACAAAGCGTTTGACACCAACCGGCCTAGGAATTCCTGTAACAGCAAATGTTGCTACTGTGAACTCAAAATGCCAAACAAAAGGCTTCTGAAGCCGGCTGGGAGGGACAGAGCGCAGCTGCTGAAGCAGCCGGCCCCAGGGGAGGAGGTGAGGTGCCCAGGATCACCTTCGGCCCCGTGCACGGGCGCGAGCTGAGCTGCGCGGAGTCTCTGCCCTACCAGATACCTCCTGCAGCAATATCCTGCAGAGGCCTAAGGTTGCTGTAGCAACCACAGTAATTTAAGAAATATGGAGAGAGAGTGAGCGCACAATTGTACCAACAGCAGTAAAATAAAAAAATAGAGCGCGTCTTAAAACACCCTGCTGCTCTCAGAAAACAAAACAGGCCACAGAGCAGCCATAAAGGAAGACGGCAGTTTAAGGAAGGCCGATACGGAACATGGTGTTACGTGTTGCAGGATGCTAGAGCACAATAGACCCCAAACAGTAAACAGCGAGTCAATAGAGATTAGGGGTCTTGCATCATTTGTTGACATTTTCTGCTGCCAGGTGCTTCCACAAGGACAGTAATAGGAAAAGTTGCCAGTGACAAGGCTTCTAAATGAATGATAAAGGCAAGACTGACTCACAGAGAAAGACACTTGAAACAGTGAGTGATTTACCACGTTGTGCTTTTGGCCATGGTATAGTAGGTAATTTTAAAATGGTCTTCTTTCTTTCCCTGTCTGTAGAAGGAAAATCAAGGTGATTGGTCAGAAGCTTGCATTCATTTGGGAAAAACAAGCCTTTTATGCCAAAGACTCTTCTGTTGCATTGAGAGCTGCAAAATAAGGATTTAAATTTAGAGGGGGCTTATGCATGAGTTCTTTCTTGCATTAAACGTGTTCTCTCAGAGTTGCAAAACTATTCTCAACCATACATATCGCCAAAGCAGGTTCACAAGAACACTGCAACTGTATGAACCTGTAAGAAAATTAGATAGTTCTAGAAATATCATGGAAACATTCACCAGTTTCCTGAATGCTGTGGAGAAGAGTGTATCAAACATCACCCAATAAGCATGTAGGCTTGTTTTATTTTCCTGCATAATGTGGAAGGGTGAGGGCCCCTTTGAAAGTGCAGAAACAGTAGAGGTGTGAATGAGGAAGCTCTGGAGAGAGAGGGGTGCAGGTGATCTTTGTGATGGCCAGCATGATTTGGATACATCTTTAACTGCTTATCCTGGAACTAACTTGCACTCCTGGGCCTCTATTTAGTTTGACGTGATATTGCATCGGTGTATTGTGATAATAAAAAATCATAGATCTCTGCCACTCTGATTTTTAAGGGATTCTTGAACACCATTTTGCACTAGCAACATATTCTCCTATTGACCTCAAAGAGGGTTTCTCTTGGAAACTACTGAACTGAATACAGCCCATGCCGTGAAGGACCATGCTGTTCTGCGAGAAGTATTTCAGGCCTCTGTAAAATGAAAGTAATTTTTCTGCATGGAAGGTCAAGAGCCAGCAAAATCCTGTGTATGTGCTTAATGCATAACTACAGAAGTAGTTCACCGGCACTCAGCTGGCATATATTGAAGAACCATTTAAAACAAAATCTAGACAGCTATTGCTTGATCAGTTACTGAAATTGTATTTCACCTTCAAATGTATTCCTGCAAGTAACAGTTTCTAATATTTTTATAATTTGATTTTCGCTGTCTGCATGGCCTTGTATTTACCCATATTAAAATTTAAAACCTTGTTATAGTCTTTATTTTAGGAAAGAAAGGTCGTCTACTCATGTGTAAACAAACCATTAATCTTCTCTGTTTCAGCAAAAAGCTGTTGAGTTGAACAAACATTTACTCAATGATCATAATTACAGTGTATGTCAGTTTATACAGTCCCAAGTGTATTGAATCTATGTAAAGTGCCTTTAAAATACTGCAGTTATTTTAAAGACACAAGTAAGTCCAGAGCTTTAAGAACAGGATCACTCTAGTGGACTGTCTAAAAAAGTAGTCTGTTCCTACTTGTTTGTTTTTGTTTTGGGGACTGATTTCTGAATTCTACTAATCCCCATTGAGGAGACTTAATTATTATAATCATTTTTACTCAAGTAATTTTAGGGAATATATTGTAATAGAAATAATTTAATGAATAATCAGAGTCAGTTCACACTGATGATCAGATGCCTTTAAAAAGCAAAAGACCACAAGACATTGTTTCTTTATCCTAGTCTAATCAAGTCACACCAGGAATACACAAAGGAATTCTCTATTAGATTTTTAACTGCTAAAAATGAATTGATTCTTACCTTTCCAAAACTCCCTTTCCCAATAGCACGCAATATTTGAAAGTGGTCAAAGTTAACTGCAAAATAAAGGAGAGAAAAAAAGGAAAATAGTTTGTAGAGTGCTAAGTCAGAATCAGAAATCAGATAAGAAAAGTAACAACAGTGTTTCTGAGGAATGTCATTTTACCATGTGGTATTTAGTTTTTCTCTTAAAACACCAAACGTATTTAGTATCTATTAAAGAGGAGGTATACTTTAAAATATTTAGCTTGGCAGTAGAATAGATTTACTCCCGCTTCATGAAAACCTGACAGCACAGTCTGCCCTCAACACTGAAGTGATTTGCTGTGAAGGTGAGTGAGAGATTTCATTTCTCAGAAATGTCAGTATTGTTGGTGTTGCATGAGACTGAACACAGCATGACCTTCAAATCTATGGTTCATTGGTAAATCTGGTGTTTTTAAAAAAATCCAACAACATGCTGAACAAAATTGATACTGAACCACTGAAATACAGACATGAAAACGTGTGATACAGTTTTTAAAGTCACTTGTCAGAAAAGAATCACACTTAAAGCTAAACTCAGTGAACCAGAGTTAACAAAGTTCAGTGCAACATAACAGGACTTTTTTTAAATTAAAACTTTCTTATGTTCCTGTCTTTGGTCACGTACCATCTGTGTGCCCATTATTGGCCTAACAGGAATCAGCAAAATTATGGAGACAGGCTCTCACTGGAAAAAAGTGGTAACATCAACAAATACAACAAAAATGTGACTCACATCACAATGAAGAAGAAAATCCTGTAAAACTACTAATACTTTAAATATCTGTCAAAAAAGTTGCATCAGCTTAAGCCAAGCACTGAGTAGGAAGTTGCAAGTTTGATATATATGTCAAGCCACTGAAAAGGGCTAAGATCTATTTTCCCTCTTCCAGTAATATCTCATTTTCACGACTAGTGTTAATTATAATGTATTTAAGCATTTGTTTATTTATGCTTGCTTACATTGTCTTCAAGGAAACATGGTTGCTCCTTTCATTAGTGCAGCTATAGCAACCACCTTCCTGGCAATTGCTGGAGACCAAATCAAATCCAGAGCTGACAGAGCAGAAAACAACAGACTCTACTCTTTAGCAAACAAAGATGGTAGTGCTGAATATAACAGTTTTAAAATTTGGATACTAAAATGAAAATGCATAACCTTGCAAAGGATTTATAAGATGCTTGGAAATTGGAAAAGAAATTTTGTGCTGAATCATCTAAGAGTTAGTTTGAGAAGCAAGACTGTCCAGCAAGACTGTCCGTCAACGACCTGCAGTTGGGATCTTTGCCCACAGGTTGTACCAGTGGGGCATTGTCTTGCAGTTCCTGCTGGACAATACTGCTGTCACGGACAAGATGGTGAGATTAGCCAACCCACTTTCCACACAGACTTATGTCAACTTAAATCTTGTTCCCACAAGTCATCCCTCCCAAGTGCATGCCCCTGAACAGATGATTTGAGAGCTTAATGATTGTGATCTTTAAGTTGATCCTCAAGTGTAAGTAGGAATTCAACACAGCATTGAAATGGTTCAAAACAATGTGTTAACCTCATTTATTACTTCGATAGGGAAAATTCAGCAATTTTTCCCTCCAGCATGATGGTGTTGTCTGTGTCACTCCCCTACTTTCAAACCTTCTAACATTTCCTGCCTATTTTACCATTTTTTAAGAAACACGTTCCTTAATGAAATTTTACTTTGAGTTTGTTCTTTACCTTGCAGTCATTCAGCTGAGGGCAGTTCCTAAAAACAACTGGAAAACTGTTGAAACAGACTCTAATTATCTAAATTTCAGTCACGCCACATTTCAGTAAGACTTGACTATATTATTGTCCTGAAGCCTGGCTGGTTTTGAAATACATCCGTTTAATGAATTATTTTGTTTTTGTAAAACTAAGATTAAGCATTTATTTTTAGCTATGCGAAGGACATTTTCTATTGTCCATTTAATTTTATTCTATTTCTCTGTACTTCCTTCTTTAATGGTGTTTATTTCCCTGAATGACCACAACAACTTTTTTTAATTTAATTTAATTGCAATTTGGACTTCCATAAGAAAGAAATTATTAAATGAGGCATTAAACCATGGAATTTAAGATGGATTATTAGTTAAATAAATGGTTAAAAAACCCAGCCACAGCAACTGATCAAATTTTCTCAGTTTTTATGTTTAACTAATAGAAAGTGGGATGCTACACTTTCAGATTTTAAGAAAAAAAGAGTATTTTCTTCCTATAGATCATTGTCACATAAGTCTTTTCTTAAATCAAAGTATGACAACTGCAACACATTTTGTGCAAGAAAAAAGAAAGATAATTTTAGGTGAGTGTGGAAGTATGTAAACACAACTGAGCTTACATTTGAAATCTGCTAGGCTTGCAACCACTGTGGTCTTCCCGAAAGAGTTAATTCACTAAGGTGAGACAACATGGTCTCTTTTGACCACTCAAACGTACTCACAACGTTGTAGATTCAAAAACTGGGGAAATTCCTCCCTTGAGACGTTAGGAAAGGAAAATAGAAGGGATACCTTTGCAGTGGAGACTTATACCAAATTCAGCTGAGTAAAACTAAGATGCTTTAAGCAATAGATCAGCCATGCAGAAGGCACATTAGCATCACAGCCCTGATAAACATTGAACAGTCAAGCTAAGTTCACTGCCACTTTATAACTACAGTAGTCATTCTCCTCAGGTGTTTGTAATCTCACACTCTCAAAATTTTTGTTTTATTTTGTTCATCACACTTTTTTTTAAGTTCTGTATATGTTTTTTCTCCCTTTTCGTTAAAAAAGAACACCACAGGTCACTGCTTATTCTGAGCAGAATTACAGCTCACCATGACCTCTGGAATTTCCAATGTTTAAAATATTATCAAGATCAGACACTGCCATTTCCTCTATGCAATGAGGATATCGCAAGTATTGCATTCTTGTCCTTTAAAACATGACACCTCCAACTCTTGTGGAGCCTGGTGTTGTAGCTAATGACATTTTTCTAGCACAAAGCCCCACTGAGATAATGGTATGGCTGGCAGAAGGACATTTTCTTCAGTAACAGTAATATGACTATTACTCTTTTGTAAATAGCTTCCCTGGGATCCTTTACTCAAGAGGGAGAAAAAAAAATTCCAACTTTTTGAGCACTTCTTTCACTGTACTACCACACCATACTTTGGAGATCTTAGACACCAGCTCTGAATTTGAGTATGGACAGTTTTCAGAAATCAAAATTAGTTTATATTGTCTTCAGCTAATTTTTCACAAATTCACAGAATGAAAATGGGACCATTAAAAACAGTATGAGGGAGTTTTCTTTCAGTTTCACTGATTTTCATGAAGTTGGAAAAATCAAGATATATTATCATGTCCCACCTTCATCCCTATAAAAAGTCAGCATTAATTCAAATCTGAGAAGGATTATGGAGTAAAACAGATATTTGGCTAACTAAGGGAGAAAATAGGTCAGTATTTATGGCATCTGTTGCATGATACAGTATTAAAGTGAGTGATGCCTGTTAATTTCAATAATGAGCTATATATGCATATAAATTAAAGTATTTTATTTCTTTCAGTTCAGTCACACTTAAGTAGATCTTAAATTAATTCCATTTCACAGTTTCAAGTCTCTATTAATAACCTTAAGTGCAAGTATACCTTACTTTGATTATTTTCATGGTTTTGAAGTAGCCTCATGTAGAGCATTTTCCAGTAGAACTAATGAAAGCTTGAATGATGGCAATGGGATGGGGTGGCACAAGCTGAATGAAAGCACCCTGCTTGCCTGGAAAAATTAAAAAATGTGGTCCTAGCCATTACAGGTACTTGACCAAATACATTAGTATACTCAAAAGTATCAGGAATATCTAGAAGGATGGCCCAGTGGTTTGTCACCAACTTGGACACAGAGTACCTCTCCTGCCACAGCCTTCTCACGTGACCTCAGCCAAGTGCTTCAATATCTTCTGCCCCTGTCTGTAGAAACAGGAATCATTACACCTCTAAGCAGCTGTAAAATCAGGTATAGGAGGTAGTTTAGTGTTTAGATACACAAGTAATCAGGAGACTAGCGACAGCCAATTCAGGTAATGGTGCTTTATAAAGGCACTATAAAGACTGAAAGCAATTTTCAAAGTGTGAAAAGTGTGCACCACTGTGGAAGCAGAGGCACAGAAATCAGTCAATGATTGACTCCAATCCCATGCATGATGTTGCTACAGAGCTCAGAGCAGAATCTGGCTCCCGCTTCAGACCACACCATTTCTCAAGCGCATCTTTTCAACAGCATGAGTGCTGATAGAACAAACATTTGATATAAAACTTTCTTGTGAGAGATAAAATAAATATTTCTTGCTCCACTGCTCCCCAAGGACAAAGTATACTTTGGGGAAAATATGCACTTCACAGACTTTTGTGTTTTTACAACCATACTACAAAAACGCTGAATAGTTTTAGTGGAAATGCCTATCATTCTTTTTTGCGTAAACTAACCAGTATTATGTACATAATGATATAAGTTAAAACAATGAAGTCTTCTATATGCATTCACCTCTGCTGCATTATTCATGAGTGGTACAATGATTTGAACAAAAAAAAAACCCCAAATGAACTGTTATATCAATGCAGTTCATTACGTGTTTAAATTATGACATCACACAAGAACACAAAGTTTCTACTCTTTTCATTGTAGGTTTGATAATCTAAAATATTCATGTTACCCATCATTTGTTCAAGTGTAAATTACATCTAACTCAGGAGGCAATATGTATCTTGGCTGGATCCTACATAGACCTGACATCTGTCATTCTTACTGCAGCTGAGGAATATTTATTGCATGTGTATGTGATTGGTCCAGACACACTAAATAACTATCACCTGAACGAACTTTTTATCTCCAAGAACAAATATCCAATCCAAAAAGGTAAAAGCTAGGGCGTACACATACATTGCATCATAGAAAAGGAATTAGGGTGCCTTTCGATTCAAAAAACATTGGAAGGACTTGATAAGCCTCCAGAACTAAATCCAGATA